TGGTTCTGCCAGCTGGAATGGGGCGATAAGAGCTCTAATCGTCCCTGGGGGTGGTTAGCTCCCTGATGACGCTCCCTGAGCCAATTCCCATCATTCTTAGATTTTATTAAGACTGTTTTATATTGTATTTTAATTGATTTTCTGTAAAGATAAAACCACCCAGAGTCGCTTTTTAATGAGATGGGTGTGACAAAATTTGATAGGTAGGTAGGTAGGTAGGTAGGTAGATAGATAGATAGATAGATAGATAGATAGATAGATAGATAGATAGAGTTCTTCATAAAAGCTTCACTGCTTTCAGAAACCTGTATGGCCAGTGGTTTGAGCTGGCTTTTTTGAAAATCAGTATTGAATCTGGAAACAAAAATGGCTCGGTATGAATGTTAATGAACATTACCTTCCTTTACTATTTCTTAAAACATGTATTTTAAATGGATTAGTATCCACTGTAAGCCATCCAAGTGTATAAATAATAAACACATCTACAGGTCACCACAACCTAAACTGCTGAAAAACTAGGGAACATCCTAGTTATATTCCCAACATTGGCCTTTAAAGCAATAAGAGAAGCACCACATATGAGTGGAATAAGATCCTCAGGGATTAAATCACAGACATTCAGAAGAGGGTTTGGGCTACCACATTGCTTAATTACCTTGTCTCATGACTGGGGAAAGTCCTTTGCTGACTCCGTTCAGCACTGAGGGACTCCTGAATGCCTAACTGAACTGCATAATCAGTGAGATCTTCATCAGAGTCCTCATCTCCTTCCATTGTTTGTTTTTTAGGTGTTAAGCAGCTGTTTTCAAGCCATAAAAAAGATGACGCTAAATGAATCATATGCCAGAACATCTGAGACCAGCACACATTCAGTAATTATGAGAAAGTTTAATTTCATTCTTCAGTTTCAGAATGAGAACTGAAGTACAAAAAAAAGCAAAATATGTTATACTTTAGCAGTCATTACATGCACTCCATTTTGCCAAGCGGTCAGAAAGTCCCAAAGCACAGAGTTTACCCAGAACTGGTTTCCTTTGAAAGGAGGTGACTGGAGGTTGATTACTCTCCAATATAAAGATGGAGCATCAGTGGAAGCAAAATTTAAATTTGTTGAAGTCCACTCTTCCTCTGCCAAGTTTGTTTCTCAAACTTTCTGCAATCAATTAATAAATAGCTGTTTGGAAAATGTGGGGACTACGCTATTAAATGAACAACTCTTCGGTACACTTTAGCCCTTAACAATGTGGGAGTTAATGTTTTTCAGCAAATAATATAGTTTCATCTGTACAGGAGTCCTCGTTTAACAACCCTGGGACTGGAAATTCCATCACTAAGTGAAGCAGTTGTTAGGCGAAACGGCACATGACTGCACCACTTAGTGAAGGCAGTTCCGGTAGTCCTGGTTGCAATTGTTAGGCGAGGACTGTGCTGTCATTAGGCGAGGACCTCATATTTCTCTGCCCTGGGCAAACAGCCTGCTCCATCCCACCGCCTCCTCCCCAGCTGGGCCCAGTGAGCTCTCTTCAGCACTGTGAGCTCCCTTCAGCACTGCACTGCATCCCTCAGATGCAGTGTATCTTTGAATATCAAATGGTGGGGACAAAGGATAGAGAAGGCTCCACCACCCTGCTGTGCTTGCCTCCACTTCAACTCCCCCCCTGCCTATCCCCCCCCCATCTCTGCCCTTTTGGACACCCTGTACTCCACTGCCACCTACTCCTGCTGTCCCCTGCCATCCCAGCTGACCTTCACCGTCTTCTTCCTCCCGCTGCTGATGAGGTGCACCCAGCCGAGGCAACTGCTGGCCCTTTGCGAGGCCTCTGCATTGCAAAGAGCCAGCAGCTGCCTTGGCCAAGTGTGCCTCGTCAACAGTGGGAGGAAGAAGACGGTGAAGGTCAGCTGGAGCGGGGTGGCAGCAGGGGTGGTGGAACGCTGGGCAGCAGGGCAGCAGGGGCAGTGGAGTGCAGGGTGACCAAAAGGGCAGTGATAGGGGGAGATAAGTAGGTGAGGGGAGTTGAAGCACACACTGCAGTGACTTTGAATGGTCACTGAATGAATGGTCATTAAATGAGGACTACCTGTATGCCTTCTCATCCTTTCCATTTTTAAAGGCCTTTTTAAGCTAAATTTTGTTCTAACATTTTGAAATCCAAACTTAAGTATTTATTTACCATTTGAATTAGGTTTTTTTTTATTTATTTTGTGTCATAGTAACAACTGTTAGCAGAAATTTGATAGAAATCTCTTAGGGTAAGGGGCTGTCCATAAGTGGAACTCCTCATCTCACTTTTTCATTGTCATATTTCCTATTTACAGTATATAAAAAAAATTCCCTTCTCACCCCCATGGGTGGTCTGTGTCTTCCTCAATCTCGGGTCCTCTATCAGAAGCCTGGGAGTCTGAGGATTCTGCGCAGTCTCTTAGCTCTTCCTAGCACTGCACTCTTCTGGACAGAGAGCTCTGATGTTGTTCCTGGGATCTGTTGGAGTCACTCTCCCAGCTTAGGAGTCGCAGTCCTGAGTGCTCCCACCACCACTGGGACCACTTTGGCATTGTTTTCCTCATCCTCTCTAGTTCCTCCTTCAGACTCTGGTACTTCTTCAGCTTCTCATACTTTCTTTCCTGATGTTGCTGTCACTTGGCACCATCTATCACTACTGCTGTCTTCTGGTCCTTGTCTACTACAATGTCTGATTGAATGGCCAGTACCTGCCTGTCCATCTGATCTGGAAGTCCCACAGGATCTTAGCCCTGTTATTCTCCACGACCTTCTGTGGAGTCTCCCATCTGGACTTGGGAGGGTCTAGCCCATACACTGTGCAGATGTTCCTGTACACAATGCCAGCTACTTGGTTGTATCACTTAGTGTATGCTGTTCCTCCCTGCATCTTACACCCTGGCACTATGTGTTGGACTGTCTCTGAGGCCTCTTTGCACAACCTACACCTTGGGTTCTGTCTAATGTAGTAGACCCCTGCTTCTATGG